TCAGTGATGGGAGGAGCAAGGCAGGTTTATATGAATATCTTCTGTGATAAGTGTTGATTCGTAGGAGTATGTGTATGTATATTCGAACTTTAGTAGATAATACCAAATAATATTCAAAATTCTAGTACCAATGAACAGTCCAACCAGCAACATTTAAGAATTGTATCTCTATCAACACTTGGTGGTTTTTATACACACAAACACACATACATTTTGGAGGAAGTGAATAATTCATTGTGATTTTGTGCATTTTTCTAATGTCTAAGATATTGAATGTATGATACACACACCATTTTAATATCATTTTTACTGAAGAGACTTTCAAGATTTTTGTCCATTTTTCCCGACTATTTTTTCCTTTTTCATTTGCAGGAGTTCTTTATATGTTCTCCACATAAATCCTTCATCAAATGCTTTTACTGTAAATATACTTGATTTTGTGACTTGTCTTTTCACTGTTAATCATTCTATTTAATGAAACAGAATTTTAATTTTTAATGTACTTATATTTATGAAAATTTCCCTTTTCAGTTAATGATTTGTGTATCTTGCTTAGGAAATTTATTCTAAGTCAAAAAATATCTACAGTAAGTTCCCGATTTACAAACAAGTTCTATTCTTGGAGAAAGTTTCTAAGTCAGGTTCGTTCATAAGTCTGACAAAGTGTGTCTTATACATCTTTGACACAAATATACAATGTAAAACACACACAAAAAAGACACATACACAAAAACACTGCAAATAAGTATTTCTACTTCTACAGTTACCTTAAAGAGGTGGTACAGCATTGTACAACAATTGTAAATAAATTATTTTCACTTTTATTTCCATGGTTAGTACTTTGCTCTTCCTAGCAGTCCCCTCAACATCACTTTCCCCTTGCTTCCAGACATCCTGGGCTCTGATTAAACACTGTATTACTTTATACTGTGGCACTGTACGGTAAGTGCACAACAGCACAATTGTGACAATGTTCAGCATGCATGTGAGCTATTTCCATGATTTGTTCATATGTGCGAATGCTCATAATGCGAGCTTTGTTCCTATCTGTGAAAGTTTACAACTACAGTGTTCATAAGTCAGGAACTTACTATATTTTCTTTTTGAATTAATTTTATAGGTGCACTTAAGGTATACAATATAATGGCATTAGTAGTTGGAAATTTGCACCTTTACACAATCCATCTTGGTTCTTACTGTTTCCCTGTATGCCTGCCCTCCCTTCAACCCCTCCACCCCTCCCTATCTACAAAGACTTTTCCATTCCCTTCTTTCTTTTCCCTACTCCTCCCACTTCTTCTTCCTCTTTTCATCTTTTCTTCCTATTTCACATTGTCTACCTTTTAGTCCATATTTACACTTCCAGTTTCTCACACTAGAGAGACTATTTGGTATTTACAGATGTGTTTCCTATTTATTTCACTTAAGAGTATGGCCTCAATGTGCATCCATTTAGCTATAGATGGCTCTAGTTTCTTATTCTTTATGGCTAAATAGTACTCCATTTTATATTAAAGAAACACACATTTTCTTTATCCAGTTTCCTGTTGATGGGCAACTGAGCTGCTTCCAAGTTTTAGCTATTACAAATTGTGCTGCTATGAACATGGGTGCGTATATATCACTGTGATGTGATTCTTTTAATTCTTTGGGGTTTGTTTGCTCTTTCACTTAAGGTTACAATCTATCTCAAATTAATTTGTATAAGGAAGAAGTAGAAGTAATTATATTTTATATGAATATACAATTGAAATAATGGTATTTATTTAAGATTTACTTTGCTTTCATTGTACTACAGTGGCATTATTGCATATATAATGTGCAAAGTAGTGCAATATATATCTGCTACTATCGATGTATCATAAAGGAAATCAATACAAATCAGTTACAAGGAAAAGTTACTAAAAGTATGAATAAGTTTTAAAGGAATATTGGATTTTATATGTTAGATTGTGGGTGCCAAATAATAATCACTGTTTATGCAGTGATTAAATCATTTTAACACTATCTAATGTCTGGAAGCAGATAAATTCAAGCTATAGAAACAAAAAGAACCAACTACTGAATTCATAAAAACTCAAACCATGTCAGTTGACTATGTCAATATGGTTAATAACAGACAAAATGATAACATGGTATCTTTCGGGCACTGATTACATACTACTTCTGTATGAATAAGTGAAGGCAAACAGATTAGTTCACTTGGCTGTATCTGTGACATAATCGTGATCCAATTCTAGAAATCAAGACTTATGAGACCATTGCATTTTGGGACACATACATTTAGGTGAATATACATTACTTGAAAACAGATAGCATATTTCAATCTTGGAAAAACTGATTGAAAAGGTTGTCTCTTGTATATATAAAACTACATCATTGGGGAAAAAAGAAGTCAGTAAGTTGTGAAATACAATAGCATGTCTGTCCAAGCTTCTAGAAATGAAACTAAGTTGTGCATTTTGTTTCCTTTTTTCAATGTATCAATGTAATTCAATATACTTCTTAAATGATACATGCTATGAAGATATATCAATTTCACTAAATTGATCTTGAATCATAGGTAATGCAGAGCCTTCTAAAACATACAACATGAATGTCTCCTAAGCAAGGCAAATTAAAACTATCTTCTTTAATCTAAAAGGATGTTTTAAATATGTCAAAGATGTCTTTGAAATTAGAATACTAAAAAGACAACCAATGCAATATGCCCATTTTTAATTTTAGCTTTATAATATTTCTCTACTACAGTACTAAATATTTTGAAAAAAATAACAGCTGGTGATTAACTGACATTAAGGAAAGATCACTTCTCAGAATGGAGACCTAGTAAGGAATTTTTTTAGCTACCTGAACAAAGCCACAAGACTTGGACTAATCTATGTCTCATTAACCATAAAAATCTTTTACTATAGATAGAAATCACCTTGGTGGTGGTTTGAGAGGATTGGGCAGCAATAGCTGTTCCATTCCTTCCTCTTTCCTTTCCCTCTTGGTCATCACATGTACACAATGCTCTACTTTTTCTTTTCTTCCCTGTGTGTCACGGTTCATGACTATTGCATGGCACAAAGAATGAGAGATTACTCAGAGTCAATGTCCAATCCAAACTCCAAGAAGGCCCAGAGGGACTGCCGTTAACCAAAACTCCTCAGCATGAAAAAGTCTCATAAGATTTTTACTGATAGAACCAAGAAGGACAGGGAATGTTACATGATTGACCTGAGGGCCATTCTAAGTAATAAATCAGAGTATGGTGAGGAATAAGGCCAGAGCATTCATTCCTTAAGGCAGTGTGTTTTGGTCCCACTTGGACTTGTGACCCTGTATGCTATCTTTTTTCATCTCTAATCATGCATATCAGGAAGTTTTGGGCCTGTGGCTCCAAAAAATTTCTTACCTCTGCATATCCATCTCATACAGACCTTTGGGCAATGCCTCCACACCTGTAAATTTCACTGCTGTTTTAAAGATTTGTTTTACTCAAACTTTCTCTGTGAACATAAACCTCTTCTATACTCACTCATTTTCTTTATTTTACTCTACCAATTATGTCTCCATTCCTTGGAGAATTTCTCTCCTAAGAACAGGGAAGGCCCACGGACATGCAATCTTTACTGTTGCATAGAACCTTTGTTCAGCCTTCTACCGTTGGCTTGCTGTTACAAAATTCTTAAGAATTTTATCCATTTTTCCCCACTGCAACCATGGAAGCTGTGGAAGGTTTCTACTGTGCCAGAAACCCTTAAGAAAAAGTGCAGACATTTCACAGAGTTGAAGGTAAAGCACCTGAGAAAGAAGTTTGCCCAAAAGATGCTTTGAAAAAGGCAAGGAGGAAGGTCTTCTGTGAAAAAGCCAGACGCTATCATAAGTATAGACAGATGCACAGAACTGAGATTTGAATAGTTAGGATGGCAAGAAAAGCTGGAAACTTCTATGTACCTGCAGAACCCAAACTGGCATTTGTCCTCCGGATCAGGGGCATCAATGGTGAATCCAAAGGTCCGCAAGGTGTTGCACTTTCTCTTCTCAAAATGTGACTGATTGAGCTTATTTTCCAGGTTAATAATTCTTATTAAAAAGTGTCTTTGTGCATATCTTACAAAAGCAGCCCTAAGGCAGACTTAAACCTTTACATCGGGAAACTATGAGGAAACACTAATTGTTCAGAAATAATATTTTCAGTCATGTCCAGTATGGAGACTATTCCACTGTCTTACAGCACCAACAAAAGTGTAAAAGTGGGCTCTGAATATCTGTTAAACATTTTTCAAAAACCATATTTCATTGTATCTTCACACTGCACAGTCCTGTGAGATAAAAATGAAATCCTCAGCTTAACCCTGATCCCCCACCCGTCTTTAAACCACTGACATAAGTCAGAATGACCTCAGGTGCTTTTTTACATTTAAAAAGGTCTAAGTAATAGCTAAAAGTCTTGCTTTTCCCTAGAAGTGCAGCAAATCCCTAACAAGGAATCCTAGGAGACTCCATGCTTCCTCACCTGCTCTAAACCTAGCAAGAGTCCCCTAAGGAACCTGCTTTTGTCAACTACACTAAGTGCAATCAGCCACAACTTGGTTACATTCTTCCACGTCTCCTAAGGGTCTCAAATTACTTTCCTGCAAAGTCAGAAACTTGAACAAAATTTTCTCCGGCTTTCCTTTATCTGACTTGAGAGGGAAAGTGAATCAGGAAAGAGTAAGCCAACAATCCTCTCAAGGGTGGCTTGGGAGAAGCACATCTTCAGGGTTTAAACTGATGCAGAACATCTGAACGCAAGGCCTTGGGGGCCATGAGGCGGAGAAGCGCGGACACAGGGTCAGTAACGGTCTGAGCTGCATTTCCCTTAAATTCTCTTCTGGAAGCGTCGCCAGCTCTGGGAGCAAAGCACCCGCCACGCCCCTGCTACCCGCCCTTCGCGTGCAGTGGACTACATTCCCCAGAATACCCCGTATCTCTCCTCGCAGAGCGCCAGTAGGCGCTTATGACGTCATCAGCAGGCGCGCGGTTTAGATTCCACTGATGTCGTGGCGCTTTGGGGCAAGAAGTTGGTTCTCCTCCTGACCCTGGGACGGAAGTCGCGGTCTGGGTGACCCCTGACCCTTTCCGATCCAGTCCCCTTTCGCCTGCCGTTTCGCTCACTACTCTGTCGGGATGAGGCGTGCAGGCCTGGGTAAGAAGAGGGCTTTTTGAAGTTTGGGGACCCTAACACCGAGCTTACGAGCGCAGGGGCGGGGACGAAAGCTGGACGAGTCTCCTGTTACTGGCGTTTGGGCCGTAAAGTGGGGAGGTCGGGTGGGGGTCTTCGGTGGCTGTGCGAACTGGAAACACATCGTATGTCCCAGTCCAGGAGTTTCCTTAAGTTTGATTCAGACTCAAGTTTAGATGAGAGGTTAGAATGGTGGAAAATTAGGAGTGCGGTGTTTACAGCTGCCACCTCGTTCGGGAGTCGAGGTGTGTGTGTTTAAGTGTTTTGACTGTCTGAGCTGTGGTTATGGGAACTGCAGTGTTTCGCTCAGCCCAGTTTTAGTTTCTCCTTCTCTACTGATCATGAGTGGATTTTAGTTTCTTTAGAAGCGAAACTGAAGAGTGGGTGTTGCCTGCTAACCATTACCAATGATAGACTGGTGGCAGGGAGTTACAAAGGTAAAAGTTTGTGTCATAAGTGTTGAAAGCCCTGGTGTGTAAGGTTGGGGTAAAAGGCGATTTCACCTAGAGCATCTCTTCTGTGAACCTTTTTCCACTGGTGAAAAAGTAGACTATAGGAAGGATTAATTACTTAACTGTGTTCTTGATGGGTGGGGGTAGGGAGCAGGCATTCTAAGCAGCAAGAATAAATTAGGCCCCAAACGATTGAAGAGACCCTTATAATAACACAGAAATACTAGAATAGCATTTTCTGGTTCTGAAACTATTACGAGATGGTTTAAAAAGAAGAAAATTGCTCAAAGGGCAGTATACTTGAGTAAATATATGAAACATTTGAAAAAAGATACAATATTTCCATTATCACGGAAGGAGAAAAATAAGTACTTCAAAATTGTTAGATATTTAAAGTCAGTAAAACTTGAGAGTAAATATATGTTGATTAATACATCATAGTATAGCAACGGGTTTTTAAAATGTTTTTAATGAAAATTTGAATAATAGAAACCAGGTGGGAGGTGGGTAAATTGGAGAGGAAAAAAAGTAGTTTCAAACAAGTTCAGTTTCACATGCCTAAATGTTTTTTACAGCAAACATTTATTGTGTCATTTAGTAAGTTCTAGCTGTGTAGTCAGTTGTCCCCGTTTGTATTTCCCAAATTTCTAGTCTAGCTGAAGAGCAGGGAAATGTGCAAAGTGAATTACGATACAAGACGGTAGCTATACATCTACAAGAACAGAGTGAAATTCTCAGAGACTTGAGAGGTAGATCACTGTATTCTTTGTGGAAACGTTGCATTTCTAACTAGACCTTGAGTAGTAGAGTGGAGAAGGTAAGTTCCAGATGGGAGGATGACTAAAAGGAAAAGAAACATAGGGCTAGCCGCGGATTTAGCTCAGTGTGCCACCACCTGTCTTGCAAGCAGAGTTCCATCCCCCATACACACACACACACACACACACACACACACACACACACACACACACAATCCAGAAATATAGGGTTAGAATTATGAATGAAGTTTCCAAGATATTGTGATTAAGTCAGTTTGATTGAAGTACAAGGCATGAGAAGACCCAGCTGCGGAGATCTTTGCCTGCCAGGCCGTGGGATTTACATGTTATTAATAGGCCATTGGCCTATTTGATAATTACCGTGCTGCGATATGCTTTGTTAAATTGCAGGAAAGGGAACTGAGAAGGAGTGATTTCCAGCCCTGAGTGTATATTAGAATTATCTAGGATGCTTTAATAAAAGTATTACCTGGATTCCAGCCCAGATCAACCAAATTAGAATTTCTAGGATAGAGTCCTCCCACCTTTTGAGAAGTTTCCCAGTTATTAAGATGTGATTACTTATATGAGTGTTGCTATAATTTACATTGGTGTAAAGCTTTTTCTTTTTTTTTAAGTATCAGTGTGTATTGATCTGGAGTTTTAAATTTGGAATAACGGTGAATGTGGTAGATACTCTGCAGACGCTGTCACACTTCACATGCATTGCTACATGATTTGCTTCAGTTATTGATAGAACTTACCCAAAAGAAGCAGCATTTGTCCAAATTGACAAAGGCTGAGGATGCTCTTCAGCCCTCCTTAGCTTTTCTACAACTGTTCTTAGCAGTAATTCACACAAAAAGTATTAGCTGAGTTGGAATAGTAACTTTAGCTCTTTATTTTTCTCTACATCGGGGGTAGGTGACAGTTTGAGTGAAGGTCGTATCTTAGAAATGAATGTGCTTTGGAAGATTTCTGTAAATGAGAATTTTACTTCAGAAGTGCAATGTTATAGAAGAATTCTAAAATTAAGATAGACAAAAGGAGCCAAAGAAAAGAAGCCCCAAAATCATCAATTTAGGTGAATTCATTGATGAAACTGTCGAGTGATTAAAGTCAACCAGTCAATTATTTTTTGGGCAAATGTTAATGTAAGTGGCTTCTTAGTCACGTAAAATAAGTAGAATGCATTGTTCTTTAAGGGCCTTGGGCCATATTAATATAGAATTTACAGAGTAGTACTGGTTTTAATAGATCAAGAATTCATTTATTTTGTTTTGTTTTTTATTAGTACATGTTTGCAGTACATAATGATTATGTTCCCCATGGGAGATGTGTACATATGCATAACACGTCCCTACCCATGTTTATAGCAGCACAATTTATAATAGCTAAAACCTGGAAGCAGCCCATATGCCCATCAACAGAGAATTCATTTTTAAGTGATAATTTTAATTGTTAAGTAGGGGGAAATTAGCATGTCCAGTCCTTGAGTTCTTAATTTCTTTTTTTTTTTTTTTGGTACCGGGGATTGAACTCGGGTCCTTGCGCTTGCAAGGCAGGCCACCGAACCTCTGAGCTAAATCCCCGCCCCTTAATTTTTTTAATAATACATTTTGAGGATTTAAGAGATACTGTGGCAGCAGCTGAAGGAAAGTTTGAGTGAAGCAGCTCTCTCCTTTGTTTGGAATAAACTTTCTTAGGATTTTGTGGTGGTGGAAATTGGATAGGTTAGATGTCTACTGCATATGAAGTGCATATTCGACACAGGAAGATAAAGTACGAGGCACTGTTTCTGTACTCGGAGAAGTGTGTATGATTCCATTCTTGACAAAGTTGAGTAACAGTAAATTCAAATTCTGTTCTTATTGAGTTTATTTACATACATTCACTGAGTGTGCCTTACTTTTTGTGTGTGTATGTGTGTGTTTATGGGGACATACAGTGTTGAGTGAACTGAACTTACTTTCTGCCCTACTAGTACAATCTAGAGAGCAATAGTGGTGGTATAGTCAAAACTATGAATTCAGGAGATTTGCCTCTTAGAGAAAATGAAATCTGTACTGTGCCTTGAGAGAGCTTCCTGTTCACACCTTGAGCATCCTGCACTAACTGCCACACTCTTTCCTTCCAGCTCTTACTATCACTCTCCTCCATCTGGTCTTTGGCTTACGGATGACTCTAATTTTAACATTATTTTTTTTCCCTGTCTTCTTAGTGCACCATTGAATCTGTTTCAAACCCTGTACAGTTAGTCCCCATAAACCACATCTTAAATCACTTTTTTTGTTAAGCAGTCTCAACTTCTGGGGTCTCTGTTCTTCTGCAGCCTACCATTATAAACCTCTAACTGTAGTTCATTTAAGCAGTGTGGCTCCTCAGAGGCTGAATGAGCCAGTGAGCCCTTCTTTAGAAAGAGCACACATCTGGCAGGATTGAAGTTACCACAGTGTATTGCTGTAGCCTGGTTTGCTTTATCCTCCTATTTATTCTGAGCAATCCTGTCACTTTTCTTATCCTCCTTACTATTTATTCCAAGTGATCGCCATTCTTTAGCAGATAGCGCCTTTGCTTCCATGACTGTGAACATTGATGGTATCAGTTACAGGGTTATGGGGACTGTATTTTCAGGGCAGCACTAGAAGATAAGCTCCAGAAAAGTAGCCCATGGAAAGAGCAATGGATACATGGTAGTTTCTCAATTATTTGTTGAAGAGTGAATAACACTCCATGAACTCTTTACTAATATTCTCCATAAGAGACTCCCCTTCTGTGTCCGAGGGATTCAACTTGTGTCCTGACTTCACTTTATCCCTCGGCTCTTTTCTGTTCAGCTCTTTAAGAGAAAGAGGTACAGTAAAAGACCATCCCTCTGCCCTGGGTTTCCCTCCCATTAGGTTATCGCTTCATAGCCAAAATACTGTAATGAGTAGTTGATGTTACTACTTGTAGATCTTTTATTAAAACCTGTGTTTTATTAAAATCTGAGCAGGGAATGTATTCTGAGTACGTATCAGTGCCGAGTTTCGTGTCTTCTGAGCAATCAGTAGGAGATCAATAAAGGAGCATTGAAGTGAACTGAATAGTCTCTGAGAGGGGGTGATGTAAAGAATTGTTCTGCTTTCTGGTTCAAAATTTTTGAAATTTATTTGGAGTATGAATATTATAGATACGCGTGGTGTGCAGTGCCCTCCGGGTTTTTGTTGTTGTTGTTTACTAACTCCTAACCTTTCAAAAATGGCTTCTGTTTTTGCTGCACAACACTTGTGGCTGTGGTCCTTGCAGGTGAAGGAGCCCCTCCTGGCAGCTATGGGAACTATGGCTATGCTAATAGTGGGTACAGTGCCTGTGAAGAAGAAAACGAGAGACTCACTGAAAGTTTGAGAAGCAAAGTAACTGCTATCAAATCTGTAAGTGTGGAGTAGGACTTCCATACATTTTAATTTCTGTATTTATGCATATGTGCTTGTCAGTAATATACTTTTATTGAGATCATAGCTTAATAAAATTAGCTACTCAAATGCGATGGCTCAGTGAGCTGTAGTTTAAAACGGACTCAAAATTTAGACCATACTTTTAGGTAGGTTAGAAAATGTAGCAAATCAAAAGATACTTTGGTTAATCTTTTTCATAAACTCCAGCTGCTACGTATTGCAATCTAAAAAACACCCTGTATTGTTTCCACTTACATCTCAAGTAGAACTGTCCTACCATCCCCAAGTAGCTGTTCTTTTTCTCTCATTTCCCAAGGTATAAATACATTTTAATCTTTCTTCTTTTCTACCTTGGAAACTCATTTCAGTCTCAGATTGTACATTCTCTCATGTTTCTCTCTCTACTTCTCTGTTTCTGTTACTACCCCTCAATTTCATAGGTGAGCCATTGGGAGAGCCTCTTAGTTCTGACCTAGGTACATATTGGCATCTTTGTAGAATATTTAAAACTGCATCCTGTACTCCGAGAAGTCTCGCATCTTCCACGATTTAGTAAACTTCACACTCGATAGCTTAATTGGATAAGTCCTCCAGAGATTAGCCCCAGCTTCACAGACCTTCCACACTTCCAGAATCTATATTGCTTTCTCCCAGACAAAGGAGAGCATTCTTTGTGTCCTCTGCAGGCTGTTGCTGTCCCACCCCCATGTTTTGCACTGTCTCTTTGCCTCAGTAATCCTCTTCTTCCTTACGTTGTCTGACATCCTACTCATCCTGGAAGGCCCTACTTTGTTGCATCCTCTCTTTCCTAAGCTTACTGTTAACCCCATCCAAAAGGAACTGTTTTCCCTATGGCGTAAAACCACTTGTATCATTTCTGTAGCATTTATTACATCGTGGTATGCATTGGAATTATTTGTATGTAAAAGAAACCCACATGTGAGGTTTTGGCTTGTATTTTCTTTTATATTCCATATAGACCCTCACACAATTATTTATTAGTGGTATTAAATTTGTATTCAATAAAGGAATTACATACCACTGCCTTTAATAGTGTATGTGATTGATTCTGTATTGCAGTACATATGCTATACACTTCTACAGCATTCAGTAGAAGCCCATGTGCCAAAACTTAACTGGTATTACATTACAATCTTTGGAAAATCAAATTGTATTCAGCCTGGAAACTGTTGTGTTCTAAAATAGTATTGTTTCTAAAATGATAATAAATCAAAAGGAGTAGATCTGTGAATGTAGTAATTGTATGATGTTGATAATTTGGAAAATAAAACATTTGGAAGAATATAAGAATTAAATACCTTTTTAAAGCAAAACTAGTGTTGCTCACTGAGACATTTTAGAAGAAAACGAGGATGTCTTAGAAATCTTTTTCCTTTTCATTAATGGAATTTGTCGAAAGTAGTTGAGTGATTTGGGCTATCTAGCTTTATGATCTGATTTGTTAAATTTCCCGGGGGTGCTCATGTTCTGATCTACAGCATTCTAATATGGTTTATTATAGCAATACATCTTATGCTTTCCACACAAATTGAGAACAGTAATTGCAATGACTTGCTAAGACAGTTGGTAGTTGATTGCATTTATTCAGATATCTTGAAAGTGAAGGCTTTGAAGAATTTATAGTATATAAAGTATTAGGTTTTGGTTTATACCACAGCCATAATTACCTATTCTTTTGTCTCTTATAGGCTCGGGTTCTTCGCTGCATTGCTTTCAGATATAGATAACATTAACTTGTAAAATTTATTTTCAATTCAATATAAAGAAAAATTATCTTAAAACTAAGTTTAGATATATATTCAGAGTAATTAAGTAGGAAATATTAAATGCTTATGTCTGGATATGAATTAGTCATATGGGCACTTCTGTATCTTTTAAGATACAAGGAGGAAGCCAGGGATTTAGCTCAGCGGTTCGGTGGCCTGCCTTGCAAGAGCAAGGACCCAAGTTCAAACCCCGGTACCAAAAAAAAAAAAATACTTTTGTATAAATAAAATATAAAACAAAGCCTGCAAATATAAAAGGATCAGAGCATTTACTACAATTAAGTCAGAATTGACTAAACAGATCAGAATGGAGAGAAATATCCACAGTTAGGAGGAGTAGAAATTCCAAATTTAATTCAGTAGACAAAGTATCAGAATAGACTATTTAATATTTCTAGAATATAGTTTCATTTGAAAAAAATGCATATGTTTAACATATGACATTATTTTTTACTTTCTAACAAACCTTTGTATGAGTATTAATATATATACTTTCTTCTTTATAGCTTTCAATTGAAATAGGCCATGAAGTTAAAACTCAAAATAAATTATTAACAGAAATGGTAAGTAATTATTATTTTAACTTTAAGACACTTGATCTAATTTTCTCAAATGTAACCTGTTAACCAAGACTAAGTAAAAATTTAATTTGTGTCTATTTTGAAACAGAGTTAGAGATTATAAATCATAGATTCCTGTCCATTTGTATCTAATCAGTTTTTCATAGCTGTAAGATTTATTTTTGGCATTTTTCATCCTGCTTAGAAAAACCTTCATAGATCTCAGTAGCCTGAGAGCCCTTTCTCTCTATGTAAGGTGAGCCACATATTCACTTTTCTCGTTAGAGGCCTCTTGGATTCACCAATGTTTGTTTTGTGTGTCAAACTTCTCCGGACCTTCCCTTTTCCTCTACATATTTTAAAAATTGTACTTTTCCAAAATCAGTAAGGAACTAAGCTTTTTACTAGAATTACCAAGAGAACGCTTGGAAAATTCACATGCCTATTTTTCACGCTTAAGTAAATGACTCTAAATTCAAAATTTCAAAGGGAGGGCTCAAGGCAAATATATTTTGAAAAAAGCTTCCTGGGTGATTCTGATGTGTAATCCTGGTGAAGAATCATAAATGTAAAGTACGTGAACTGCCCTAAGACTGAACCATGCAAAGGTCTCACATTACATCGAGATCTTTTCATCTCAGGATATTGAGATTTCTTTGAAAGTATAATATTTTTAATTTATACCTGGTCTTCTCATCTTAGGACTTCTCCAACTGTGTTTTAATATGGTGATTTTTCTTCATTCATATTTATAGCCCTTACCACATTTACCACCTCCACATGATACTCTTAGCTTTTAGTAAACTCCACTGTACTTCAGAGTTGGCTATCTAAACAAATGTGTCTTAAGAATAAAGGGAGGTTTAACTGCTAAATGTATTAAATTTTGGATGAATTCCTTTATTGGTATCAATTGTTTGACCTTGGACAGCATTGTGAAAACAAAACTGGAAGAAGTTGTGTGGAACTGTGTGCAGTACTGGCCTTTCTTGTTAATGTTTTTTCATGCATGTAATTGGAATAATACTTAAATAGTTTGCATGTTTGAATTGTTTTGTGATTAAAAGAAATGTTTAAATTGGATAATACAAGTGCTTTTATTCATTGAAAGACCTTTATTTTTGCATGGAGTACTCAGGGTGATTACCAAGATTATAAATAGGCTCCTGAATTGATTAAACACAAATCTGTCCTTTAAAATGTACTCTAATAACAGTATATTTAATTACTTGAATGTATATATGTAGAAAATTAGAATGTAAATATGATTTTTTTCCTTTCTCTCTTATAGGACTCACAATTTGATTCTACAACTGGATTTCTAGGTAAAACTATGGGAAAACTGAAGATTTTATCTAAAGGGAGCCAAACGAAGCTGTTGTGCTATATGATGTTGTTTTCATTGTTTGTCTTTTTTGTCATTTATTGGATTATTAAACTGAGGTGATGAAGTTAAGTGTGCATTTGGAATTTATTCCAACCAATGGCTTGGTATTATTTTGATAAAAATCACATCAAGACATTCCTAATTTTCAGATGGCCTTTTCCATTGAAATTTCAGTGCTCTTTGAATACCGTTTCTTATCGACTCATTTAAACTCCTATTTTCAGGGGTTTTGAGATGACCCAGAGTCAGTGGCACTACTGGTTTTCTTCCATTGTTTGCTGTCAGATTAAATAGCAGTCTAGTATCTTGTTGCTATCGTAAATAGAGGTGTAGGTTCCATTTAAGGAAACTGGTGGGAGAGGACTGGAATGCCTGGAGAGGCTGATTCTGAGCTCTTAAGTAGGGAGCCCATCTGTGATGGGATGCTAATTGTGTTTCCCGGCTGGCGTCAGCTGTGATGGTCTTTCAAGTGGTGGCGAACCAAGGAAGCCTGCTGCAGCAGGAGCAATTTGTGTTATTGCAAGCTTTAAAAGGTTCACTATCAATGGTCTGTTCCTCCATCCTCTGTTTGGTTAAAATTGGAGCCCAGTTTCTTTTTACCTGCAGCCTTCTTAATAATATTTGTCTATATGATTCCTCTTCTTTCTCCAAGGGCCTCCTTTAATAAAGTTTGTAATTTTCACATATTTCTAATAGGACCCAATATATATGTATTATCAGTATAGTTATTATTTTATAAATTCCATTGACTTGATTTATAATAGTTCTATGATTTTAAATGTTTAGGTGGGCCATTTGATTATCACTTGTGACAGAGCAATGTAAAGTTAAGTAATTGCTAATATCTGAGGGGGAATAAAGTGTCGAAGCAAAATTAATTGTCTATGTTTTATTATGTGCTCTAAATACATTGTGAAAATACTCAGGCATTGCACTTGGAGTGAAAAGGATTGTTGCTTTAATCCATTGTATTTGTTTCTAGGAAGAAAAACAGGTGGATTGTTGAGTAAAAATTGTTAAAATATTGTAAAATACTCTGTTGCTACTATTTGAGAACTTAACCTATTTATAGGCTCCAAAAATAAATTTTTATTGAAAAACATTAATTGATTTTATTGTTTCAAGTCTCTTACGTTCTTGATAAATAGTCGAGAAAAATCAGATTCTGAATAAAATCAAGCAAAGATAACATTTGTATTGTGTCAGCTTGCTTCAACCATGGCTGCAGTTTCCAGAGTCTGGTAATTCTTTATATTTTTATCAGTCCATCCTTTTATGGTTTTACTCGGTTTTCAGTTCTTTTTGTTCATCCCTCGTTATATATCAGTTGGAGTCCTGTTTTTCCTGGCTGCATTTGCCAACAGCTAGGCCTCCATTTCCTAGGTAAATCTGTTGGATCTGAGCAAGGTTAGGTGGTGTGACTGACCGGGTTTGAATAAGATGAGCATTGCTCAGGTCTGGCCCTTCACGCACTCAGTGTTGTGGGCGTTGTGTTACCTATTGCATGAGACTTCTGGGAAAGGTAGAAAAGATAAACGTAGTGGAAACTGCCTGACATGATAGTCAGTACATGTAAATAATGTCCACAGTGAATGTTCTCACTAACATTGGCAGAATTACACATCAGGAAAGTGTGTTATTTTAAAGTGAAAACAATATATTGGTTTCAGACTTGAAGTTATAAACTTTCAAGTGGAGGATATTTCTGTCATGTAATGGAGTATGACTCAGTGGTTTAAGAAGTTTTAATTTTGTTTTCTATGTCAATTATGTGACAGCAGCTCAGGAAGACTCAAGTCACTGATAATAAGTTACAAAAAAATGTAAGATGGCAGGGATGTAGCTCAGTAGTGCTGTACTTGCCTGGCAAGCACAAGGTCCTGTACTGGAAAAAATAAGGAAGAAACATAAGACCAAAGAAAATGATTTGAAGATTAAAATGTAAAATAATCATCAGTGGAACTAGAAGAGCTCAAAGTCTTAGGAAAACCAGTAATGGCAAGAGAATGGTGGACTTTCAGCATTAAAATTTGGCTACTCCATAAGAATATAAAGTACTAACACTATTTAAATAAAATTGTATGTTATCAAGGAGGTAGGTTTCTGGCAAAGGAGTTTAGGGTGATGTAAAAGATTCTCATCGCTGAGTGGTTCACCTTTCGTTTCTTTTTAAAGAATTGGTTTAAAACCTGCTATTTTGGTGTCACGCCACATCACTGTCCTGAGGTTGTGGCAGTCGGGGAGCTACTCTGGAAAGCAAGGCCCATCACACCCCAATACTGCTGCTGTCGGCGTTCTTCTGTTTGGGGAACCTTAGGAAAAAGTATTCCCACAAATAAAATTTGGAGGAAATATCAAATATGAAAAAAGTTCTAATCCTATAGTCATTTACAAGTCTGTCACTGATTTCATAAAGTACTTTATTGCTGAAAGCTTTGGAGTTAGAATAATTGAATAGGCAATATTCACATTTGATCTTTATTCAAACAACGTTCAGGTGGCAGGTGGGGCACTATTTTAAATGGTGCAGCAAATTCCAGAAGCAATTTATAAAAATCCTAGCTATCCAAATTCTACAACATCTAGTCACTTCATTTCACTAGGAGTCGGTCTGCAGATGTGTGCCACATACATTGGCAAATACCTGAAAGTGTAGCTTTATATATATGTATACCAAGCATAGGACTTTACAATGAGGAAAAGAATTGTGTATATCGTTGATAGGCTCTAAATTAGCATGGAAATTAATTTTTGGATTTTACTTTAGCTGAGAGATATCAAATCTATGACAAATAGGAAATATTGTAAGAATCAGGATTTTGGAGCAGAGAACCCTACCACCTGCATCCTCAAAAAGCTTCTGTTTCTACAGAATACACCTGTTTTCCTAATTTTTTTCAGTGCTTTACATTTCAAACTATATAGACTGAATTTACTGTTTTGAGAAAGAGTTGAAGAAGTACTGGATAATTTGGGCTCCTTCAGTCAGTAAACGTTATCAAGCTGTATGAATGACTAGATTTTGACTCTGCTGGAAAGCAGAACAGTATCCACTGAACGCTGTGAATTCACATTGTGCAGAAATCCCAGCTCTGCCCATGCCCGTTGGGCCTTTGGGCTGAGGACCATCTCAGTTACGCTACTTGTGAAACAGAGGATCCCTAATCAGCAGTGACCTTATTTTTGTGGTGTAATTCCTCTTACCACCCTTGATTTTCAGTGCCAGCATGAAAAGCAGAGGGTGAAAGTCCATGCACAACTGGCTCCCACGACCTGGTACAAACTTCTTCCAGCACATGCTTGTCACATTGAAGATCAATATTCTTTTAAAAGATTAAGTACCAAAAAACAAAACAAAACAAAACAAAAAAGATGTAAAAGATACTTGTTTTCGTAATGAGAAGCTATCATCCAAACTGTAATAGAACACGTTTGAGAGATGTGAAGTTAAACTAATGAATTAACCTGTAAATAATGTCTTGCAAAGGAAGTGGACCCTGAAAAGATCATTTGTACATCTTATTTGAGCCAATATTTTCTCAATTAGTATGGAAATGGAGTACCTGGGAATTCCCATCCTATCTCTTCTTTCAACCTTCCACCTCCAAGAAATTGAAAGGTCTGCTGTTCTCTTTCTAGTAACCCAAACAAGCTGAAGAAATGAAAAATAAATAAATAAAATAGAAATAAAGCAAAACAAAACAAAAACTAGGTTTTTGTTCCATCAGAGTGTGAAGGATGTGACGAAATCTAAGTGGACTCAATTCCAGAAAATGATAAACCTTCCCTAGAAAAGATATCAGCTATCTTTATTCCTGGCAGAGCCGTGGGTGGAGAAAGCAAGCAGCTAAAATTTCATGTGCTGCATGTGGGCTGTGTAAGATTGGAATTCCCGGGTACTTGCTACATTTATTGACCCTCCATCTCTATGTAGTTCAAATACTAAGTGAGAATAATGTAGGAAAAAGATAGGAGTTATTTGCATTTAGGTTTTCTTCGTGTTACTTCCTCTGGTTAGTCAAGCAGATGCTCAGGATCATTCTGTGAATTTTGTATAGCTTTGTCCCTTTGTGTATCTCCTGCTTCTATACTTTGAGCCCAGGAATTCAACTCTGTGAAAACCCCGTTTTTCACAAGCCTTTTAAAGCACTACCAAAAAAATTCAGATTTGCCAAGTCCAAGTCTTAATCTTTCTTGAAGTATGCATAAAATGTTTTTGATTAAACAAATTGCATATATATTAAATGTGACTCTAGAATATGCTTAATGATTTATAACAAGCAGTTAAAGGATAATGTAAAATATAACCACATTGTCAGTAGTAAATGTCACTTTAAAAATAAAGTTTTCTTACTAAGTCAACTTTATAGACATCAAGAAGGATCAATATTGTATAATTATATACAGAAAAATGCCTATTGTGCTTTTTCAATGTCTACAATCATAGTGTGAATCTGACTTTATTAGTATTGTGGACTCCTTGATGTGTAAAATGAAGTTGGATATGAATTTAAAAAAAAAACCCACCTATAAAAATAAAACATGTTAATAAGTAATAAAGACCTTACATTGTCAATTCACATTTTAGAAGAATATTTATAATTGCTCCTTTCTTCACAATTTTATCTAATTAATGAATAAGTAGTCCTAGAAGCTTGTAATTTATTGTGATTTCTGTGTTGTTTAATAATCTATTTACTTTAAACTATACTTCATCTGGCAAGTTGAAACCCAGTTTTTCCAGTATTATTTATTAAAGATGCTATCTTTCCTTCAGTGGGGCTATTTGCCTTTTTGTTGTCAAAGATGAGGTGGATAAGTATGTCTGGAGTTGTTTCTACACCTTCTAATCTGTTCCATTGATCCTTAAGGTTGTTTCTTTGTCAGTACCATGCTATTTTTATCACAGAAGCTTTGAAGTATAGTTTCAAGTTGGGGGTTTTGATTTACCCTGTCATGTCTCTGTTGCCTAGAATTGCTTATGCTCTTATAGGTCTCTTCTTGTTCCAAATGAAATTTTGTATTGTTTACTCTGGTTCTATGAAATATGCTGTTGGAATTTCAATCTGGATTGCATTAAATCTCTACAGCGGTTTTGGAAGTATGGCTATTTTCACTGCGTTGGTTCTTGCTTCCCATGAACAAGGGATGTATTTCCATTTTATGATATGTTCTTTGATCTCTTTTTTAGGGTGCTATAGTGTTATGAGTAGAGATCTTTTATTTCCTTTATTAGATTGATACCTATATATATCTTTTTTGGTGGGGGGATGCAATTGTGAAAGGAGTTATTTCCTCAGTTCTTCTCTCAGTGATTTCTGCTATTCGTGTGCATGAAGGAAACTGAATTGGGAATGTTGGGTGTTCAGCTACTCTACTGAATTTGGTTATTAAGTCTAGAAATCTTTTGGTAGAGTTTTTATGTTCGTCTATATAGAACATCATGTCATCCACAAATAATGGCAATTTAACTTTGTTTCCTACCTTTATTCCTTTTATTTCTTTCTCTTGTCTAATTGGTATGGCCAGTATTTCCAGAATTATATTGAACAGGTGTGGTAATAGGGGACATTCTTGTCTTGTTCCTGATTTTATGGTAAAGGTTTTTAGTTTTTGAACATTTGGTATGATGTTGGTTATTGGTTTTTCATGATGGCTTTTATAAGGTTGAGATAAAGACCATCTATTCCAGTTTTCTTCATGATTTTTTATCATGAATGTAATTTGATTTTTGTTGAATTTTTTTTTCTGAATTTATTGAGATGATCATATGGTTTTTCTACTTGACTCGGTTAATATAGTATATTACATTTATTGATTTATGTATGTTGAACCCTTCTTGCATCCCTGAGATAAATTCCCTTGGTCAGGGTGTATAATCTTCTTGATGACCTTCTGCATTCCATTTGCCAGTATCTTATTGAGGATTTTTGCATCTATATTCATTAGGGAAATTGGCCTCTAGTTCTCTTTTATTGGTTTTTATTCTCTTTCTCTACTTTTGGAATCCCAGTAGTGCTTGCTTCCAGAAATAAATTTGGGAGTATTGCTTCTCTTTAAATTTCATTGAA